CACACAAAAATTTTTTTTAATTAATATAAATAACACTTATACTGGTATATACCTAACATATTTTACTAAATTGTTTAGCAACCTGTTAAAAAAAGGAGTTTAGGATCATACAAGTTAAATATTACAATATACAAAAATAGAAAATGTAGTTTTCTGAAAAATGTAGATACTAATAATTGCGACATTGCGCCTTTATTCTCTGCATCTTTCAATTTATTTTTGTAAACCTATTAAAAATATTACCGAAAAAATAACTTTTTATACACATTGTAAGAACAATATACTTTCTACACGACTATATGCATAATTTATCTGTATGTGTGACTCAAAGTTCTCGATTTTACTAGTTGATAATAATTTACATCCTAAGGGCACGTTGTTGACCCTTTAAATAATACAAATTCTTGTAATCGATTCGAGAAAATGCAGCGCATCAACCGTTACACGATTGACATTTAATGCAACTGGTATTTTTACAGAAAAAGATAAATTACAAGGAAACGAAGTAAAGATCAAGGACAGATATATCGTCACGAAGAGAAATCACTATTTCAATGCAAAAAGGGAAACAACTTTGTATACGAGTAGTTGTTTGTCTTTCCGCCAATTAGTTTGACAAAAATTCTTTAATGCAGCTAATGTGAATTGATTTAGAGTAGTAAAATTAGAAGTTGAAAGGAACTATACATTATTCATCATTACCAATCTAATCCATGACTTTATTTAAATGTCTAATAGACCAGGGCGAATATGTTTCAAGGTGGATGTGAGAAGTGGCATTCGGATTTTTAAAGAAATGGTTAGGTGATAACTTTAGTAATAATAACTGACTTATCCTTCTCTTAAATAGGTCGGGAGCAAACGTAAGTACTGCGTCAAATCTTACGTTAAACGGAAAACCAATAACAGTAGATCCTCATATTAAATTTTTAGGATGTATTTAGACAAGAAACTGACATGGCGAGAACATATAAAGCAATTACAATTAACTTGCCTTAAGAGAATAAATATTTTAAAAACGTTATAAACAGGAAATGTGGTTCCGACCAAAATACAATATTATCAATATACAAATCAATAATCAGGTCTAAACTCGATTATGGATGCATCCGCTTATTGTTCGCTTATTGTTCTGCGAGAAAGTCAATTTTAAAATCTCTACATGCAATTCATAATAATAGTCTAAGAATCGCACTACGAGCATTTAGAAGTACACCTATTAAGAGTATATACGCTGAACTTGGTGAGCCATACCTTTACCACAGGCGAATGCAACTGAAATTAACAGACTCATCCTCGGTATACTGTAATCTAGAAAAACCTATTTAGAGTAGCACCTTCACATATCAATATAACGCACTTTTTAATTATAGTGATATACTAGAAAACCATACTGTCAAAGAATTAGAACATATTGCAAGAAATTAAACTTTCATCTTCCTGACATATTCGATCCAAGCATTGCTAATCCTTATATCCCTTGGTCAATAAATATTCCACAGTGTAATGTATATTTGAGCAAATATAATAAGTCGGAAATGCGTCCCTCAGAAATAAAAACTATTTTGTCAAATATACTCCAAACTTATCAAAATGTCTCCAAAATATTTACAGATGCTTCTAAATCTAGCAATGGAGTTGGTGCCGCTTTTGTAATCAATTCAAGTTAATATCTATTTCAACTATATCCCCACTGTAGCATATGCACAGCCGAATTATTCGCTCTTTATCGAGCAATTAAGTTTATTAATGATACCAATATCGTCAAAGCGGTGATTCTTTTTGATTCTGTGAGTTAGATTAGTTTAATTCAAAGCGATAGGAATTAATTAGTTTAACGAAAGGCGTGGGCAATCAAGCAAGTTGGAGTTTTTCGACCAGACCTGTGTGCCAGACCCGATCGAATGCCTTCTGGACATGATCAACACACAAATACAGACATGATCAACCACAAGAAGATTTGACAAGGACCGTTCGAAAGAAGCGCGCCTTCATTGATTATATAAGTAACCGCACCGACTAGGAGAATCAGTTTACTTTAAGCACAAGCAAGAAGCGTTACTACCTGAGTTGACAATGGCAAGTGCAATCTTACCGAAACGTGCTCAAAATAATGATTTAAATTAAAACCAAAATTATTTAACGCAAAGTCAAACCCAGAAAACCATAGAAAGCACATATAGCTCCCGCGGAAATTTCAAGTGTAACATAATTAACCTCTACAATGAGGAAATTCTACGAGATATCAAAAGATACGAAAAACTACGATCAAAGTGAAGTAATGTGTTACGCCTTAAGTTTTTAGAACTCTGCCGTGATAAAAACAATATACCGAGTTGTATGAAGCTTAGTTTCCACAAATATAAACTACAAAACCAAAAACATCCTAAGAAGGGCAAGTCTGGCGCTTATTAGAGAAGCATGATCCATCCATGACACCAGAGGAGACATCGACAAAAGAATGTCATTACAATCGCACCTTAAACTGAGTTATACAATTCATTCGACACTGTGATTTTTTTTTGATAAACTAAAAAACTTCCGAACAGAAATAGACTCCAGAAAAAACAAATCAAAAAGTTTGAAAATTTGTTACTATAATCGCGGTCAAAGAAGAAAGAAAAACCATAATTAGAAATTACCACCTTGGTAATTTCCTGGAAAATCTTGGTGTAGTCAGTGATGAACAGGATAAGAGATCCACCAATGTTTGAAAGTCATGGAGGCAGGGTATCAAGGTAGATGGGATGTTCATAAGATAGCTGAATATGTTATGAGCATCAAGCGAGAATATTATTAGATTCAACACTCCAGAAAAAGCTATACCTAAGCGAAAAGTTTTGTTTTAATATGTAATTAATGTTTGTTAATTAAACAATTATTTGCATAAATACAATTTTTCAACAAACAGTATATTTTGTTAGATTTATTTTATTCTACTTTATATTCATAACTTGTAAAGTTTTTGGGAGTATCCTGTAACTTACAAAATTGCCGTGATATACCAAATCTGCGGTTATTTTTGCATTCAGATGTCAAAAACCATTTGATCGCAATTTAAAGATCTATGATGATTTGATTAAAAAATTACTATTCCTCTATACTATTACTGTGCTAAATGTAGTTATTTCACATGCTCATTTTGTGAAAAAGTCTAGATAAAAAGTTTCTTATTATAAGTTGATTTAATAAGTTTGGGCTCTAGTAGAAGTATTTTTTCTTTCACATTTTAAAAAGTGCTTCCAATCTAAAAATATTCAAATAGGACATTTAAATAAAGCCATAGATTAGCTGGGTAATCATGAATAATGTATATCTCGCTTTAACTTTTAATTTTACTACTTTAAATCAACGAATAAAGTTTACCTTGTAACTAATCAAATTACTAAACTTCCACAATGACCGGCTTATATCCGGTACTCTAATTTATTTATTTATCATATGGCATACAATAAGAACACACAATTAAAAAAATCAATATAAAAAAACGTTACATAAAGTATTACAAACGAACATCTAATGTATTATTAATATAATGTAAAACATTTTCGTTCGCATTCAGGAACTCATCGAAAACTCCACGGAGTCGCCTTCGGGGACATTCTTCAACAATGTGACGGACGGTCTGTCGTTGCGCACCACAGTCACACTCAGGAGTAAGGGCTTTTCCCCATCTATATAAGCTGTCAGCACATCTACCGCTGCTTGTTCTTATTCTGTTTAGTGTTGTCCATGTATTGCGGGTCAGTTCAAAGACTGTCGGTTTCTGATCGATACAGGCCATTTGATGTGCTTCCTGTGGTGAGTCGCTCTCCCATTGTTGTTCTCCAAGCTTTGGTCAGGTTGAAATGTTCCTGATGTAAGGAGTTGGCTCTTAGCAATGGAGGATATCTGGAGCGCAGTCTGTTTATTTCGATGTCAAGCTTATCTTGGTGTATAGGTAGTTGACGGTTAGCCTCAATTTTTCGATATTCTCTGAGAAGAAAATGACTTCTTCGCAGTTTCGGCGGTGGAATTTGACTCAGAATGGGAAGCCAATAGTTCGGTGTGGGTCTAATTTTACCTGAGATCATTCGCGTTGTCTGGTTTAATTGAGTGTCAATAATCTTTGTGTGTTTGCTATTGAGCCATACCGGGGAAGCATATTCAGCCACCGAGTATACAAGTCCGAGAGCGGATGATCTGAGTACGGAGGCTGAAGATCCCCGGTAGTGCCACATAGCTTTTAGACTATATTATTTTTCGTTTTCAGCTTTGCTGTCGTTCTTTGAAGATGTTCTTTAAACCTCAATGTTCTGTCCAGAGTCACTCCAAGATATTTTGGTGTTGAGTTATGAGTGAGCAGTCTGTTTTCGAAGTGGATGGAGAGTTTTTTGTTGGCTTGGGCATTATTCAGATGGAAACAGCACACTTCGGTTTTCGTTGCATTAGGCCGTAGCCTCCATTTGCGAAAGTATTCTCCCATAATGGCAAGGTCATCCGCTAATATTGTTTCTGTGATATCCATGTTATTATGTCTTGCTGCAATGGCCCAATCGTCAGCGTAGCCAAATTTCTGCGAAGTAGTCCTAGGTAGGTCCGCGATATATAAATTGAACAGTAAGGGTGCCAAAACAGATCCCTGTGGCAGTCCATTGCTGAGTTTCATTTGGGAACTCTTAGAATTGTCTATTGTGACTTGAAAAGGTCTGTCGGTGAGCATGTTATCAATGAGTTTAGTTACCTCTTAACACGGGATGACACGGATTAGCTTGCAGATTAGTCCTTGTCTCCAGACAGTATCGTATGCAGCTGATAGGTCAATGAAAGCAACAGATGTTTTTTGTTTTCTTCGAAAACCAGCTTCAATATGTGTTGTTAAGGATAGGATCTGATCTGTGCAGCTACGGTTAGGTCTGAATTCTGCTTGCTTGGTACTCTGATAATGTTGTTGCAGGCGGACATATTTAAGTCATGTTGCTAATACTATTGGTAAGATCTTGTGAAAATAAAATTTCATATTTTACAAAAAAATAAAAAACATTATATTTAGCTATCAAATTAAAACAGTACAGATTTGAAGGGAAAACTATGTACAACAGAGTTTTGCAATAAAATAAATAACGTAAAAAACAATTTAAGAGGAATATGTGACACCCGCCTTTGAATGGCCCTGCGATCCCAACGTGTAATACTGTGGAGCTTGCGCAGCTGAACCTGCTGACTGAGAATAGTAGAGCTGTGGACTGGATTGAGCGGCAGACTCGTACTCTTGTGGCAGTTGGTAGGTGTATTGTTGAGAAGGAGCTGAAGAATAAGTTTCTTCTTGGGTAGCGGCTTGAGCAGCAGCAGCCTTTTGATATTGGTAGACTACAGGAGAAGCAGCTTGTTGGTAAGCGAGCTTTTGTGGTGCAGCTTGGTGATAAACGGGTTGTTGTGGAGCTTGAGGTTGTTGTTCGGCAGCAGAATAGGCAGCTTTTTGAGCGATTTGTTGGTATATTTCTTCGTAATTAGGTGCAGAAGTGGCTGTGTAAGCATTTGATGGAGCAGCACTAGCTGAGTAAGCATTTGATGGAACAGCGCTGTATTGGGTTTTAGCAGCTGAAGTGTACTGAAGTTTGGGAGATGAGGTGTATTGAACAGCTGATGGAGTGTATTGAACTTTAGGTGACGTTATATACTGCACTTTGGGTTGGGAACTGTAGTCGGATTTTGCTGATTGTTCTGATTGGTAAGAGACGGGGACGTCCTGACTTGAAGCTTGTTGGCCAGCAATTTGTTTCAAAAGTCCTAAGTTATTGTATGATACAATAGGGCTGCTGTAGCTAAAGCTGGACACATCGGCCGCTGAAGAATATTGTATTTGCTGTTTGGGTTGTTGTGTAAAAGTGTACTGAAACAAAAATGACGCAATTAAAATTTAGATATACATTTTTTCAAACTTATTTTAAGCAGAAGTTCTTTGATTAAAAATATGTCTAATAAAAAAAAATATGACAATATATATAAAAAAGCATAAAATGTCATTTTTGTTTAAAACCAAAAAAACATAACTGTTTTTGAATAAAAAATACCAAATTGTTACACATAGATCGGTATAAAGAGATCGAAAAAAACTTAAACAGAAGGAAACAAAATATTGTTAAAATAATGATATTGTATGTGATTAGATAATAAACACAGCATATTTAGAGTTTTTTTTATTATCAATTTCTCTTATTTTTGTCTCTCGGGTGTTCTTCCTCTTATGTTTTGTGTCTTGTGTTGATTTTGTTTTTTAATTTTTGGTAAAATTTTTGGCTATTTAGAAAATTTAAATTTTGTGGGATGCTATTTTTATGTTGCATTAGTTAGATGGATTTTCGCCTTTTTTATGTTCAGTTTAATGTTTCTTTTGTCATTGATTAGCTGTGATGTGTGACCTGTTAAGATTTTACTTTTATCAAATGTTTTTTGTTTTTTGCTGTTCATAGTACTGCTTTTAAAATATTATTCAACTCGTTGATAGGTCCGTGTATTTGTATGTTTGTTTTGCTTAAAGACTGTTCTGTAGGGGAGGTCTAGACTAAGCACGAGTTCCACAGTACTTCGCTCAGCCCAGCTTGGACAAATAAGTTCATAACGTTACGTGCTTTAGAAGCTAAGAGGGAAGTTTTAGTGGATATCTAGGAGAATATGATAGGTGTGAATGAGGTAAGATCAAACAATTATATGCGAGTAAACTGAGAATTTGACATGGATGCTACAGATATCCTCCCCACGTTGGGCGCCAATGTGTAACGATAAGACTACCAAAGAGAATTGAAGTAATATTGTGAAAATAATACTTCAATCAACCATAAGAGCTTATCGTCTATACCTTGCCTAGCTCAGTATCTTAAGGGTAAGTTCGTATTGTCTTAAAATAGAGATTGAACTTGAGTTTTCAGTTGATAGCAAATAAAACAAATTTTAACCAAACATATTTATTTAAAAAAAAAGCACAATATTACTTCAATTCTCTTTGGTAGTATTATCGTTACATATTGGCAGACATATACAGATAACCAATTATTAAATAAATATAGTGTGTGTGTTGGTTCTAATCTGCAACTGTGCGGAAGAGCGCTCTGAACTAAAAGGGAACTGTAAGGTACTGCGCGAAATATAGACCAGTCTATTAATTGTAAAGACATAGGGGCTATATATGATAGTGTAGATTTGTTAATAATACATCAAACATATACATGTTTACATGGTACTGTGCGAAATATAGACCAGTCTATTAATTGAAAAGATTTAGGGGCTATATGATACTGCATATCTGTTAATAAAAGATCAAACATATACATGTACCTATTTATACCTACAAATGTGCAAAAAACTAAAATAAAAATGCATAAGCTTTTTCTCACTCAAAAAATTACTAGACAGTGCTACAGCGCTCTAAACTAAAAGGGAAATATAAGGTACTGCGCGAAATATAGACCAGTCTATTAATTGTAAAGATATGGGGGCTATATATGATACTGCATATTTGTTAATAAAAGATCAAACATATACATGTACCTATATATACCTACAAATGTGCAAAAAACTAAAATAAAAATGCATAAGCTTCTTCTCACTCAAAAAATTACTAGACAGTGCTACAACGTGCTTAACAGATTGTTTTGCATTTTAGCTAATAAGCTCTTTAATGTTGATGTGTAACTCAATGTTCCAAGTGGTTACATGGAACATATAGAAAACGGTTATCTAAACAGTATCCCAGAAATCATTTGAATTCGAATAAGTGATAATAATCTCGTCACAGTAAGAAGACAAAAAGGGATGACTGAGAAAAGGACATGGATGACTCTTTTGAATAAAAATATAAACGGGGGGAGAACAAAAACAATTCCGGTTGTCAACTTTGCTCTGTTCTAAATACTAAATAGAGACTTTTGGCACAGGTTTGGTAGATTTGTTGCCATTAAACGATTCACTGTCACTTTGATACAAGAATATTGAATATACCAGAGACAAATGGAAATTCTATATTGATTGGTAAAATGTTAAATTTTTTAAATTTTTTCAGAGTAACTTTTTGAGCAAGTTCAACTTACAAACAAAAAAAGTAGTTTTATTATGTGACATTTTTAAAAAAACAAAGTTATTAACATTTATAAAAACGGGGAAGTCTCTTGAGGAGATAGATTTTATGCAGTGCAGTAGAAAATAGGTGTAATATGATTGTTTGTTAAATGAAAGTGATGTTCTATAGTACACCTATTTTCTGCTTAATTGGATAAAATCTATCTCCTCAAGAAACTTCCCCGTTGATTGTCAAACAATTACAATAGTAAAAACTGAAGATCCCCGTTCAGCAATTACAGGATAGATTGAACTATGTTCTCCCAACCATTAATTAATCGTGTACCGGCATCATTTGATTAACTTTGTATCAACAGACCTGAAGATGCTTTGCAAATTAGAGAAAGCGAAACCGGTCGTCTAGGTTAAATTAAACTGATTGTGAGTAAGTCTTAATTATTATTTGTTTTACCTATTTGAAATGGACTTGCACAAGCAATACATTCATGATTATGTCCTTAATTAACCCTTCATTACGGCGCTGGGAAATAGTGGCAAATTAGCATAAGTGTCGCACTACAAACTTTAATGTTCTAGATAAATGCGAATCTGACTTTTACATATTTAAATTTTTTTTCTTTTGAGTACATAATATTTTAAAGGTAGTAAGGATGTGTGGATGATAGGTACAGCGTCAAATAATAGCTGAAGAAGGATCTAGAGTACCGTATGAGGTAAAGAGAACACTAATGAAACTTTCGTTAAAAAATGCTTTTTAAATGTATTCATTTTTTTCGAATCCTGAGAAAACTAACAAATATTTTTGAAAAATTTAAACGCAGAATGAAATATTATATTATTGCGGAGGGCCGAAAGTCCCTTATAATCAACAAAAAGTTTCTTTTGAATGAGATATTTAAAATTAAAAATCACCTTTAATTTTCTCTTTTTTTTTTCACCCCTGTAACTTACTACAATAAACATAATAGAAGTTTTCAGGGATTTTCGGCCATCGGTAAGAAGGTAATCTTTCATTATTTGTTTAAATTTTTCAAAAGTAATTATTGGTTTTCTCAGGATTCGAAAAAAATGAATGCATTTAAAGCATTGGCCCGAAATGTTGCGCCTAGGCTCTTAAGAATGCGCCTATGCTCTTAATAAATGCTTATGTTTTATTTATCAAATACATTTAATAATTTGTTTTATCTAAATCACCTTTAACAGTCAAATTATTTTAATACATTTTTACTTTTGAATTTATAAAATATTTTTATCGTATCTTAAAATAAATATTATTTGATTAATTTATGGCAACATTAAGAAATCTATGGCAAAAGCTAATGACTTAATTGTTATAAATTCACTTTCTCTAAAAATTCCGACAGATGGAGTAATAACATAAAAATAATCGTCATTCTTGTTTTTATGTCGATATAGAAAAGTAGCAACATCATGTGCGGGTATAACGGTCGGTTTAAAATTGGATTTATGTTGCTGCATTCTTTAACAAATTGCTGAAATAAAAGAGAAACTTGAACTTGAAATAGGCTTGTTTTAATAATTTATAACCAACAGATTGAAACCGAATGAATTTTAAATTTAACTTAAAATTGAGTTTATCATAAAAATTGACTGCATTATTTAAATTAGTAAAAGTTATAATATATTAATTAGTATGTGTGAAAGTAATAAAAAATGTAAGTAATATTACAATTGTGCTTTTTCTTTTGCAGTCATTACTCGGGGCAAGTCTTTTGCCTTTCGGGTGACAAGTCGTAGAATCATCTTGTGAGAGATCTTTCAGTGTTTGGTCTTTCTTTTAATTCGTTCTTTTTATTCGAACATTTTCTTTATTCTTTCAATAAATTTATTGATTTTGAATTGTTTATTGAATAGCTTCAAATCAATACACATAATACTGGTGATTCGCAAATTCATAAACATTTTCTTATATGGGTATTAAAATAAATAGGTTGCCTTTTATAGTGGTTCTCATCATCATAATCAACTAGCCTCTAACGTCCACTGCTAAACATAGGCCTCTCGCATGCTTTTCCACTTGTCATCTGTTCATCTCGTTGGGGGTCGACCTCTATTTCTGTTAGCTTTTATTCGGGGTCTCCATTCCAAAATTATTTTTGTCCACCTGTCATTAACTGATCTTGCTACTTGATCTGCCCAGTTCTACTTTATTGTTGCTATCCTTTTAATAACGGCTGCTACTCCTGATCTTTTGCGTATAGTAGCATTGAGTATTCTATCACGTAGAGAAATCCCTAACGTTATTCTCTCCATTGCCCTTTCCGCAACTTGCAGTTTATTCACTGTTCTTCTTGTGAGTGTTAGAGTTTCTGCGCCGTAGGTCATCACAGGCAAAATACACTGATTAAATACTTTTCTTTTTAGACACATTGGAATCTTAGACCTAAAAATATCCTGCATCCTTCCAAATGCAGCTCAAGCGAGGTTTATTCTTCTTTTCAGCTCGATTGTTTGGTTGTCTCGACTTATTCTAATCTCATGGCCCAAGTATTTATAGGAGTCAACTGGCTCAATATCTTTGTCTTCTACTGAGATGTTTTTATTGTGGAATAAATTTATTATAAATTGTGTTTTTGAAAAAATTATTTTAAGAACAATTCTTTTGTGGCAGTATTGAGTTCTTGGAGCATTATCTGTGCCTGATCAAAGCTGTCTGTAATAAGAACAATATCATCTGCAAATTTAAGTTTATTTAAAAATTTTCCATCTATATTGGTTCCCCTTTTGTTCCAATCTATTGTTTTACAAGCGTATTCTAGCAAAGTTGTAAATCATTTAGAAGAAATATTATCTACT